ACAACATGGCAAGACCCCGTCTCTACCAAAAATACAAAAAATTAGCCGGGCATGCCGTTGCATGCCCATAGTCCCAACTACCCGGGAGGCTGAGGTGGGAGGATCACCTGAACCCCAGAGCTTTTTTTTTTTTCCAGACAGGGTCTCACTCTGTCACTCAGCTGGGTGAGACCCTGTATGGAAAGGAAAAAAAAAGCTGGGTGTGGTGGCACGTGCCTGTAGTCCTACCTACTCAGGAGGCTGAGGCATGAGGATGGCTTGAGCCCAGGAGTTCGAGGTTACTCTGAGCAATGATGGTGCCACTGCACTCCAGCGTGGGTGACAAAGCAAGACCCTCAAATAGAACAAAATAAATTGGCCATAAATATAAGAGTTTTTTTGTGTATTGTTCATTCTGTTCCCTTGATCTATATGTCTATCCTTTTTCCATATCTTATAGATGTGATTACTAGAAGTTTCATAGCAAGTTTTGAAATCAGGTAGTATACATTCTCCAGTTCTATTCTTTTTCAGATGTGTTTTGGTTATTCTAATTCCTTTGCGTTTCCATGCAAATTTTAAGATCCAATTTTAAGATCCAATTTGAGATGGATCTTGCTATATTGCCCAGGCTGGTCTCAAACTCCTGGGCTCAAGGGATCCTCCTGCCTCAGCCTCCCAAATAGCTGGAATTACAGGCACATGCCACCACACCTGGCCTCTCAATTGCTTTAAAATAAACACAACAATGAAAATCTTTTGGAAGTTTGATGGGCATTGCATTGAATTAATAGACAAATTTGGGGAGAATTACCATTAATCTATACGGTGAAATCTGTCTCTACTAAAGATACAAAAATTGGCCAGGTGTGGTGACTCATGCCTATAATCTCAGCACTTTGGGAGGCCAAGGTGTGCGGCTCACTTGAGGTCAGGAGTTCAAGACCTGCCTGGCCAACATGGTGAAACCCTGCCTGTACTAAAAATATAAAAATTAGCCAGGTGTGGTGGCAGGCGCCTGTGATCCAAGCTACTTGGGAGGCTGAGGCAGGATAATCACTTAAACCCGGGAGGCGGAGGATGCAGTAGGAAGAGATCACGCCACTGCACTCCAGCCTGGATGACAGAGCAAGACTCAGTCTCAAAAAACAACAAAACAATATTGAGTCTTCTATTCCATGAATGTGAAATGTTTATGCATTTTTTTAGATCTTTAGTTTCTCTCAGAAATGTTGTTTTACAGTTTTATATGTATGGAATTTTTTTTTTTTTTTGAGAATGAGTCTCATTCTGTTGCCTAGTCTGCAGTGCAGTGGCGCAATCTTGGCTCATTGTAACCTCCACCTCCCGGGTTCAAGCAATTCTCCTGCCTCAGCCTCCTGAGTAGAGTAGCTGGGATTACAGTTGCCCACCACCACGCCTGGCTAATTTTTTGTATTTTTAGTAGAGATGAGGTTTCACCATGTTGACCAGGCTGGTCTTGAACTCCTGACCTCAAGCAATCCATCCACCTCGGTCTCCCAAAGTGCTGGGATTACATATGTCACCCACTGTGCCCAGCCATGTGTGGAACTATTTTCTCAATTTCATTTTTGGATTGTTTATTGCCAGTTTATAGAAATGCAGTGAATTTTGGTGTGTTAATTTTGTATTGTGAGACCTTTATTCTAGTAGGGTTTTTGTTTTTTTTTTAAACATTCCTTCGGATTTTCTACAGTAGAATTATGTCATCTGCAAATGAAGATAGTTTTACTTCTTTTCAGTATGGATGCCTTTAATGTCTTTTTGTTAATTAATGCACACATTGCACATTCAGTAGTACAATGTTTAGTGGGACCGGTGAGGAAAGACATCCTTGCCTTGTTTTGATCTTAGGGAGGAAAGTCTTTGGTCTCACTGTTAAGTGTGATATTAGCTGTACGTTTTTCATAAGGGCTGTGTTCATTTGCTAGGGCTGCCATACAAGGTACCACACACTGGGTGGCTTAAAAAACAGAATGTATTTTCTCAGGAGGCATAAAGGCCAAGATCAAGGTGCCGGGGGGTTGGTTTCCTCTGAGGATCTCTCTCCTTGGCTTGTCTGCAGCTGCCTTCCAGCTGCCTTCTCCCTGTGTCTTCACAGGACCTTCCCTCTGTGTGTCTCTTCTTATAGCGGGACCAGTCAGGTTGGATCAGGACCCACCCCAATGACCTCATTTAACGTTAATTACCTCTTTAAAGACCCTATCTCTAAATACAGTGACACGGAGGTAATGGAGTTAGAACTTCAACATACTAATTTGGGGCTGGGTGTGGTGGCTCACGCCTGTAATCCCAGCTGATGGCTTGAACTTTGAGACCAGCCTGGGCAACATGGTGAAGCCCCATCTCTACTAAAAATACAAAAATTGGCCGGGCGCGGTGGCTCACGCCTGTAATCCCAGCACTTTGGGAGGCCGAGGCGGGCGGATCACAAGGTCAGGAGATCGAGACCATGGTGAAACCCCGTCTCTACTAAAAATAGAAAAAATTAGCCGGGCGCAGTGGCGGGCGCCTGTAGTCCCAGCTAGTTTTTTGTATTTTTTTTAGTAGAGACGGGGTTTCACCATGTTAGCCAGGATGGTCTCGATCTCCTGACCTCGTGATCCGCCCGTCTCGGCCTCCCAAAGTGCTGGGATTACAGGCTTGAGCCACTGCGCCCGGCCTCTTCTTCTTTTCTTGGACAACAGAACCAGACTTCATCTCGAGAAAAATTAAAAAATTAAATAGACATGAATTTTTTTTTTTTTTTTAAGAATCTCATTTTGTTGCCTAGGCTGGAGTGCAGTGGTGTGATCTCAGCTCACTGCAACCTCTGTCTCCTGGGCTTAAGTGATTCTCATACCTCAGCCTCCCAAGTGGCTGGGATTACAGGTGTGCGCCACCATACCCAGCTAATTTTTGTATTTTTAGTAGAGACAGGATTTTGCCATGTTGGCCAGACTGGTCTCAAACTCCTGACCTCAGGTGATCTGCGCCCCACGTGCCCTCTCAAAGTTCGGGTTCATCTTGTGGGACCCCCCACCCCGGCCCTTTTTTTTTTTTTTTTTTTCTTGAGACAGAATCTTGGTCTGTTACCCAGGCTGGTGTGTAGTGGCATGATCACAGTTCACTGCAGCCTTGACCTCCCCGGCTCAGGCTATCCTCCCACCTCAGCCTCCCAAGTAGATGGGACTATGGACACATGCTACCACGCCCAGCTAATTTTTTGTATTTTTTTTAGAGACAGGGTTTCACCATGCTGCCCAGGCTGGTCTCAAACTCCTGACCTCAAGCAGTCCACCCACCTTGGCCTCCCAAAGTGCTGGGATTATAGGTGTGAGCTACTATGCCTGGCCTGGACATATAATTTTTAGAAGAAAATGTGGCCACAACTCTCCTAGAGTTGAATGGTTGGGTTTTTTTTTGTTTTTTTTTTTTGTTTTGTTTCTTTTTTTTTTTTTTTTTTTTGGAGACCATCAACAAGATTTCAAGGCTGTAAAGAAAGGAGCTGCTTCAGGAAGAGACAAAATGACTTGACCACTTACAACCTTCAAGTGCGGACTGGGCGAAGAGGTATCAACTGTGCATGTGCATGAGCTGGAGACGGGTGGGATAGATAGAGACACAGGTGATAAAGAAAATATAGCAAAATGTGAATCCTACAGTCTGGGTGGTGGATGTAAACCCTGTAATAGCCTCACCTGGGGAAAGTTGCCTTGCAAGAACGAAGCTGCCCATTCTCCAAACCCACTCCAGCCACCAAGCAGGCTGCAGTAAAAAGTCTGGGTCCAGGAGGAAGTACCACAGAAACCAAGTTGCGATGTCCTGGTTAGGGGCCCAGCAGAGGGGTCATCCTAGCTCTACACCATTGGATACTGAGTTTCGGGAGTGGGAGTGCCATCCTCAGGGTCACACAGCGTGTCGGTTCCAGCCTAGGCCTTCCAGTGTCTCATTAATCTTTTATCCACTCAGTTTCTCTTCTGGCTCATGAACCTTGCTCTCCTGGGACTCTTTTTTTTTTTTTTTTTTTTGAGGGGTTGGGGGTGGGACAGAGTCTCTCTCTGTTGCCCAGGATGGAGTACAGTGGTACCATCTTGGTTCACTGCAACCTCCGCCTCCCAGATTCGACCAATTCTCCTGCCTCAGCCCCCCAAGTAGCTGGGACTACAGCTACACCACCCCGTCCGGCTAATTTTTGTATTTTTAGTAGAGACAGGGTTTCACCGTGTTGGCCAGGCTGGTCTCGAGCTCCTGACCTCAAGTGATCTGCTTGCCTTGGCCTCCCAAAGTTCTGGGATTACAGGCATGAGCCACCGTGCCCGGCCTGGGACTCTTCTTGCAGTGAGCCAGGGCCATGGAGCCCTTCAAAAGTTGCTCCCCCCAATCCCCAAAATATATTTTTCTCCCACCTGTCCCAAGTGCCTGGCATCATACCATATGGGTCAACTGGCCATGTTTGCCATGGAAGCCCAAGAGGAGGAAGTGGGTCTTTTATTACCCGGCACAGCAGAGCTGTGGAAAGTGCCCTGAGAAAGGTCAGGATGTGAACTAAAGCATTGGGAATGGGAAGGCAGAGACCTTGGATTAGCTGGGATGCTCCATGCCCTCGCTGAGTGACCTTGGACAAGCCCCTTAGACACACTGAGCCCATTTCCTTATCTCCACGACGGGCGTCCCACCTGCTGTTGCACCGGGTTCTTGTGGTAATAATTGAACTCACACATGCAAACAGGCTTTAGTTCAATAATTGAACTCACACATGCAAACATGCTTTGTGAGCTCGATAAACACAGGTGGCATGGCCAGGTGTGGTGGCTCATGCCTGTAACCCCAGCACTTTGGGAGGCCAAGGTTGGAAGATCGCTTGAGCCTAGGAGTTGGAGACCAGCCTGGACAACATGACGAAATCCTGTCTCTACCAAAAAAAATAAAAAAATAGGCCAGGCATGGTGGCACACACCTGGTCCCAGCTACTTGGGAGGCTGAGGTGGGAGGATCACTTGGGCCCAAGAGGTCAAGGCTGCAGTGAGCTGAGATTATAACACTCCAACCTGAGTGACAGAGTGAGACTGTCTAAAAAATAAAAATGCACCAAAAACCAGGTAACTATTAAGCATTGCTAGGACCTGCATGCGGTGACCCTGAGGGTGCTGGGTTTCTGTTTGAGGGAGAAGAAACTCCTGAGCCCCTAGGTATCGTGGGGGACACGCAGTTCCAGACTGCCTGCAAGTCCTGTATGCCTGGCCTCGTCCGCATCCCTGGCACCCATGACGATAGCCACATTCCACTGGTGTTTCCCCAGGAAAGCCAACCCTACCTGCATCTCAGCGGAGCTTCCACGGAGTTGGAACCCCGCTCCGAGAAGGTGCGGGTTCGGGCCAGGGATCACACAAACTCCAGAAGGAGGACGCAGTTGGTTTGCAAGGCTGTGACCTGGTTGAATAACCTTTGATCTGCCCCGAGAGGAATGTGGGCATTAGGCTGCGGCCCACAGGACAGCCCTGTATTTTCTGAGAAACGTGGCCCACGGTGCAGATCTGCTCCAGCTCACTGTGGTGGGATCATGCCAACCACGGCTGGGCCACGGAACATCATGGCAAGGTGCTGCCCTCCTGCTACGCCGCCTGTCTAGAAGCAGACTTGATCCGAGCAGGACTGGAGTCAGCCAAGGGCATCACGTGCTCTGGTCCCCGCCTGCCTTGACTCCTCCTGCCTCACTCCCCCATGGCCCATAGTCACGTGGGTGAAGGTGGTGGGCACCGGGGCTGGGTCCAGCCCCCGACACTGCCCAGACAGACTTTCCTAAGGCACCCTTTTCCTAGCGCAGGTGCGGCCTCAGCCCACCCCTCTTCAGGCCCACAGATGGCACCTCTCTGGTGTGCAGTTACCTCTTGCTTATGTTTAATTCATGGCTGGGGGGTTGGGACGAGCTTCCTGAGAAAGGAAAGAACTCCCCTGGGGTCTTGCCCAGTTCCTGCTCACCAGAAGGACCATAGCCGAGGTCCCAGCCTCCTCCCAGGGCCCAGGACTGGGGAGTGGAAGCCATCAGTGGGCTCGGAGGACAGTGTCCCAGCCAGGACACAGCCGTTGGTCACTAATCCGCAGCCCTGGAATGTCCGTGGGCCAATCAGCGGGGTCTCTGGGGGCTCCCCAAGGGCGCTAATAATCCTACAATGATTAGCAGGGGCCACGGGGTCAGTGCACGCCACTCTGCCTGCTGTCGGGGGCGGGCTGGCCAGGCTGAGGCCAGAGCAGACAGGCATCCCCCGGAGTCGTCTCTTTTCATGCCAGCGCCAACAGGAGGCTGTTTGGACACACTGATTACTCCCTCACCAGCCTCCCTCTTTTGTCCACCAGCCCAGCCTGACTCCTGGAGATTGTGAATAGCTCCATCCAGCCTGAGAAACAAGCCGGGTGGCTGAGCCAGGCTGTGCTCGGAGCGCCTGACAGGCCCAACAGACCCATGCTGCATTCGGAGACCTCCCCTGGCTGGGGGCACCTCCTGGCTGTGCTCCTGGCCCTCCTTGGCACCACTTGGGCAGAGGTGTGGCCACCCCAGCTACAGGAGCAGGCTCTGACGGCCAGAGGTAAGGGACACCTGGTGAGGAGGTAGGTGGAGGCACCATTACGAGCTCGGTGGAGTGGGTGCTAGGAGACTTCTGGAAGCCTGAGCCCCAGGCCAGTCCTGCAGGTGGTTTAATGAGGAAGCCCTGGGACAGCCTGGGGCGGTGAGGGGTGGATGCTGGACTGGGGAGGGAGGAGGAGGAAGGGGGCCAGGGCTGGGGCCAAGGAGGAATGCCCAAGGGAGTCTGTGGCTGGGGCCTGGAGAAACTCAGTGGCCCAGAGGAGCCCCAGACAGGGGCCTGCTGGGAGCCAGGGCAGGCCCCCCTACACCCAGCCCCCACCCCTGTTCCCTCCCGCCACCCCGACCCCAGCACTCAGCCCACGCCTGCTGTACCTGGTCTCTCTCAGCCTGGCTGCATCGCTGTGCCCCCGTCCCCTGCACCCACCACACTCCTCTCCCATCTTGTTTTCTGAGGGCGGGGATGCGTGCTTATTTTGCTGTGTGGTGGGTCCAGGTGCCCCCATCCTCGGGCTGCCTAAGAACGGAAAGAACTCCCTTCTCTCCCCACCCCAGCCCTGAATAGGAAGGAGAGTTTCTTGCTCCTTTCCCTGCACAACCGCCTGCGCAGCTGGGTCCAGCCCCCTGCGGCTGACATGCGGAGGCTGGTGAGTACCAGACCCAGCTGGGCTCTGCCAGGGGGCGGCTGGAGGCACAGACCCCAGAGGGCAGCTCCGGAGGCCACGCCTGTCCAGGCACTCTTCCACTTGACTAGGGTGGGAAGGCACAGCCAGGCACTTTGGCCCTGAGGGACCAAGGCCCTGGTTGCTGGAGGTCTCTGCAACTTCTTAACCCCCTACCCTCAGTTCAGGAGGTCGGGCCCCTTGGCTCTCACTTGTCTGAAGGGCAGGACCTTGGGCCTTCCCTGGCATCTTGTTGCCACGGAGACCAGGAGCCACTGGAGAAGCCGGATCCCCTCCTCCAGGCAAGGAATCCTGCAGGGCGGGCGGGCCAGGAAGGGAGAGGGTCCTGCTGGGCTGGGGAGGGGCTTCTGTGCAAGGACCCAGCGCCTCCTCCTGAGCTTATCTGAGGGACTAGGACGGGCCTTGCCCATGTTCTCTGCTCACTCAGTCGTCCACATTTTCAGCAGGGGCCGGGGATCGGGGTATAGTGTTCTCCACCAGCCTGGCTGGGGCTGCTGGGTTGGGGCTGTCATCTGGGGGCTCAGAAACGCTGCCCCTCATTGTCTGGGACCCCAGCAGCCCCAGCCCATGTTAGCAGGCCAGGGAGCCAGGGCAGGGTGGTGGGGGCGGGAGGGTTCCCCATGGCTGCTTCCCATGAACTCCTCCGAGGCAGGCGGCCACGGTGGCGTCCTTGAGCACTCTAGGGTCAGTTTCCCAGGAGGTGGGGGTGGGGTGGCTAAATGGGGGAGGTTGCTTCTCTCCCTTTCCCCACCCTGAGCGGCTCTGCCCCTCCTCAGGCTCAGACCCTGTGCCACCAGGGCTGCTCCCAGCTGTGACCTCCGTGGTGGGTACTCCTGCCTGGGACCCCAGGAGGGCCTGCGGCAGTCGATGGCTGGCAGTTGGCACCCTTTCCAGGGAACTTTTGTGAAAGTCCTAGAAAACTTCATTTCCATAAAGGTGCAAATGGAGCTCCATGTCCCAGCCTCCCTCATGGCCCGGCCCCGAGCACCCTCCGGGCCTCTAGGGCTCTGGGGCACCCCTTCTTTGGACACAGTGGAGACTGAAGGTCTTGTGGAGGTGTGGGGTTGCTGAGGGACCCCGGGAGCCCCCAGCTCCTGGCCCCAGCCTTCATCAGAGGTAAAACCCCAATGGACATTAGTGCAGGGTGAAGTCGGCTTGGGGTGCAGCCCCGAGGGCCCCCCACCCTGCACCCACTCAGTGCTTGTGAGTTCTGTCCTACAGACACCTCCCTGCTCCATTTACAGATGAGCTCAGGGAGTCTCGGGAGATCAGGGGTCTGCAGCAGGTCACCCAGGGGTGGCGATTGCCAGGCCCCTTGTTTAAGAAGAGGGAGGGGGCTGGGCGCGGTGGCTGACACCTGTAATCCCAGCACTTTGGGAGGCTGACGCAAGCAGATCACCTAAGGTCAGCAGTTTGAGACCAGCATGGCCAACGTGGTGACACCCTGTCTCTACTAAAAATACAAAAATTAGCCAGATGTGGTGTCACATGGCTCTAATCCCAGCTACTTGGGAGGCTGAGGCAGGAGAATCGCTTGAACCTGGGAGGTGGAGTTTGCAGTAAGCCGAGATTGCTCCACTGCACTCCAGACTGGGCAACAGCGTGAGACTCTGTCTTAAAAAAAAAAAAAAGAGGGGGGGGGGGGGGGGTCAGCTGTGCGTGGTAGGGAGCCGATGAGGCGGTATGGGGGCAGGAGACCAGGGCGGAGAGGCGTGGCTGTAGGGCGTTTTGCATCACAGGAGGGCAGCATGGCCGGGTGGGAGTAGGGGAGCCTTTCTGACAATGGCCAGGGCCCAAACACAGAACCAGTCTGTAAGGCATGGGCACTGCTCACATGACCAGATGGGAGAAAGACAGCAGGAGCCCATCCCACTGCCTGGGCAGGGCTGAAGGATGCCCACAACAGGATTCAGAGATGGAGGCTCAGTCCTGAGAGGCTGGGCTCCTCCTAGATGAGCATCAGACAACACCACTGCTTCCTCCAGCAGGACTCCTCATCCAGTGCTCTCTTTGCCTCCTGACCTGGCACCCGGTGGATGCTCAGAGATGGTAGGGGAGGCCTGGCCCAGCAGTCAAAGGCCTCCCACAGATGTCTCTGTTTGCGCTTCCCCCAGGACTGGAGTGACAGCCTGGCCCAACTGGCTCAAGCCAGGGCAGCCCTCTGTGGAACCCCAACCCCAAGCCTGGCGTCCGCCCCGTGGCGCACCTTGCAAGTGGGCTGGAACGTGCAGCTGCTGCCCGCGGGCTCAGCGTCCTTTGTCGAAGTGGTCAGCCTGTGGTTTGCAGAGGGGCAGCGGTACAGCCATGCGGCAGGGGAGTGTGCCCGCAATGCCACCTGCACCCACTACACGCAGGTGAGTGTGTTGCAGTGAGGCCAGCGTGCCAGTTCCTAGATACAGGCTCCTGCTGGGCCATCTCAGAAGAGGCTAGTTTGACCTAAATGTTGGGATTCCTTTTCCTCCAATTTGTTTAGTTTTACTCTTTTTTTTTTTTTTTTTTTTGAGACAGAGTCTTGCTCTGTCACCCAGGCTACAGTGCAGCGGTGCAATCTCGGCTCACTGCAACCTCCGCCTCCTGGGTTCAAGTGATTCTTGTGCTTCAGCCTCCTGAGTAGCTGGGATTACAGGCGCCCACAACCACACCCAGCTAATTTTTTGTATTTTTAGTAGAGATGGGGTTTCACTGTGTTAGCCAGTATGGTCTCGATCTCCTGACCTCGTGATCCACCCGCCTCAGCCCCCCAAAGTGCTGAGATTACAGGCGTGAGCCACTGTGCCTGGCCATATTTTTGCTTTTTTGGAGACACGGTCTCACTCTGTCACCCCAGGCTGGAGTGCAGTGGCATGATCTTAGCTCACTACAACCTCTGTCTCCTAGATTCAAGCGATTCTTGTGCCTCAGCCTCCCGAGTAGCTGGGATTACAGGTACGCGCCACTATACCCAGCTCATTTTTTTTGTATTTTTAGTAGAGATGGGGTTTCACCACGTTGGCCAGGCTGGTCTCGAACTCCAGACCTCAAATGATCTGCCCGCCTCAGCCTCCCAAAGTGCTGGAATTATAGGCGTGAGCCACTACGCCTGGCCTAAGCCACTTTTTTTCAATCTGAAATATGAATAATTTCAAACATAAACTTATTTATTTATTTATTTATTTATTTGAGACGAAGTCTTGTTCTGTCACCCAGAATGGAGTGGAATGGCATGATCGCAGCTCACTAGAACCTACACCTCCCAGATTCAAGTGATTCTTCTGCCTCAGCCTCCCAAGTAGCTGGGACTACAGGCATGAGCCACCACACCCGGCTAATTTTTGTATTTTTAGTAGAGATGGGGTTTCACCATGTTGGCCAGGCTGGGTCTCAAACCCCTGACCTCAAGTGATCCACCTGCCTGGGCCTCCCAAAGTGCTGGGATTACACGGGTGAGCCACTGTGCCTGGCCTCAAACATAAATTTAAAATGGCCCCACTCATACCCACTACCTAGGTTTAGAAGATGCTACTAAACTAAAGCCCCGCTCCTCCCCTTTCCCTGCTGTCCCTCCCTGGAGGGAATCTTCTTGAAGTTCAGGAGTATCACTGCCAAGCAAGTTTCCATTTTTTCTCTTCATTCAACAGATATTTGTTGAGGGTTTTCTGTACACACCTGGCACTGTTCAAGTGCTAAGGTATGGCACTGAAAAACACAAGCGAAATCCCAGGAAATATTGAATACCTCTACTCCTTATGCAAGTGTGTTGTGCATGTTTAAGTATTACATAAGGCTGGGCGTGGTGGCTCACACCTGTAATCCCAGCACTTTGGGAGGCCAAGGTGGGAGGACAGCCTGAGCCCAGGAGTTTGAGACCAGCCTGGGCCACATGGCAAAAACCTGCCTCTACAAAAAATACAAAAATTACCCGGGTGTGATGGTGTGTGCCTGTAGTTCCAGTTACTTGGGAGGCTGAGGTAGGAGAATTGCTTGAGCCTGGGAGGTGAAGATTGCACTGAGCTAAGATTGTACCATTGCACTCCAGCCTGGCCAGCAGGAGTAAAACCCTGTCTCAGAAAAAAAAGAACATGTGCCTACAACTAGGTGTTGCCAAAGTGATTACACCAACTGGAGAGACCAGCAAACCAGTTCCCACTTCCCAAAGATCTTGTGGCTCTTTTTTTTTTTTTTTTTGAGACGGAGTCTTGTTCTGTCGCCCAGACTGGAGTGCAGTGGTGTGATCTCGGCTCACTGCAAGCTACATCCCCTGGGTTCACACCATTCTCCTGCCTCAGCCTCCCAAGTAACTGGGACTACAGGCACCCACCACCACACGTGGCTAATTTTTTGTATTTTTTAGTAGAGACGTGGTTTCACCATGTTAGCCAGGATGGTCTCAATCTCTTAACCTCATGATCTGCCTGCCTCGGCCTCCCAGAGTGCTGGGATTACAGGCGTGAGCCACTGCGCCCAGCCCTGGCTCCTTAAGTTTTGTCAGACTCAAAGGTGTGAAAAACCTAACCCTGTTTTCTTGTTGTTAGTTGTTTTTTGTTTATTTTGTTTTTGTTGGGTTTTTTTGAGTCAGAGTCTCGCTCTGTCACCCAGGCTGGAGTGCAGTGGCGCGATCTCGGCTCACTACAACCTCCTCCTCCTGGGTTCAAGAGATTCTCCTGTGTCAGCCTCCTGAGTATCTGGGATTACAGGCGCCCACCACCACATCCGGCTAATTTTTGTATTTTTAGTAGAGATGGGGTTTTGCCATGTTGGCCAGGCTGGTCTTGAACCCCTGATCTCAGGTAATCCACCCACCTCGGCCTCCCAAACTGTTGGGATTACAGGCATGAGCCACCATGCCCCGCCTTTATTATTGTTTCTAATTTTCTTGATATGAATGTTTAGATCATTAATTTTAAATCTTTTTTGTTTCTACTATATACATTTAAAGCTATAAATTTCCCTTTAAACGATTTCAGCTACATCCAATAAGTTTTGATATTTAATGTTTTCATTGTTATTTAGGGATGTTTTTTCTATTTCCAATCATGATATTGTCTTTGTTTGTTTTGAGACAGGGTCTGGCTCTGTCGCCCAGGCTGGAGTGCAGTGGTGCAATCTTAGCTCACTGCAGCCTCAACTTCCTGGGCTCAGGTGATCTTCCCACCTCAGGTTCAAAGTAGATGGGAATACAGGTGTATGCCACCATGCCTGGCTAATTTCTTGTATTTGTATTAGAGAAGGGGTTTTGCCATGTTGACCAGGCTGATCTGGAACTTCTGAACTCACATGATCCACCCAACTCAGCCTCCCAAAGTGCTGGGATTACAGATGTGAACCACCACACCTAGCCATGATGTTGTTTTAGATTTTGAAGTGTATCTTTAAGTTTCTGAACTATGTTATCTTCTTAATTTACTTGTAAATTATTCAGTTTAAATTTCATTGCACTGAATTCATAGAATGTGGCCTGTAGGATGTGTTGATTCTTTGGTATTTTTGAAACTTGGGTAGTGGTCTAATGTGTGGTCTTGCTTTGTGGTTTGCAGAAGTCCCATGCATTCCGAAAAACAATACATGTTCTTTAAGTGTTGGATACATGTATATGATCACATGTTCACATCTGGCTGCTACAAGCCAGTCTTGTACATGTAATTTTTAGTCTCTACTGGAGAGTTTGTTTCACTTTTCTTATATATTGGCCATTTGTGCTATTTCCAAGTTGTTGCTGATTCTAAGACTTTAAACTGTTTTGCAGAGCTGTATCCATTAGCTTTTGCTGCTTGACATTCTACCCCAAATTTTAGCAGCTTATGAGTCTGCGTGTCAGCCACTTGGGTTGGGCTCAGCAGGGAGGTTTTCTGGTCTTGGCTGGGCCCACTCATACACCTGCAATCAACTAGGGGGCTGGCTGGGAGCTGGCTGTGCAAAAAGGCCTCTAGTGGTTTATCTGTATTCCATGAAGCCTTTCAACCTCCACCAGGCTTTACTGAGCTTGTTCATGTGGTGGCTGAGCATGGTTCTATGAGAATGAGTGGAAATGGCAAGGTCTCTTAAGGCCAAGTTCAAAATCAGCTCAGTATCACTTCTGCTGCATTCTGGTGGCCAACACCAGTTACAGGGCCAGCCAGATTCAAGGAGCAAGGAAAGAGACACCTCTCCTTACTGCAAAAAGCTGCAGAGTCACATTTAAAAGAGTGGGCTAGTGCAAGAAGTGAAGGGTTGTGGTCATAATGCAGTCACAAGGCCCTTGATGTCCCAGTCTTTTTTTGGCTAGTCCCCTCCACCCATCAACGATCTCCCCTCCCTTCAGGTATCTGCTAGCCCTCCCCTCTTCATTCCCCTCTCAACTAAGAAAGCCTTCCTAGGCCAGGCATGGTGGCTCACACCTATAATCCCAGCACTTTGGGAGGCTGAGGCAGGCGGATCACCTGAGGTTGGGAGTTCAAGACCAGTCCAACATGGAGAAACCCCATCTCTACCAAAAATACAAAAAAATTAGCCAGGCGTGGTGGCAGTCACCTGTAATCCCAGCTACTCGGGAGGTTGAGACAAGAGAATCGCATGAACCCAGGAGGTGGAGGTTGTGGTGAGCCAAGATCGTGCCGTTGCACTGCAGCCTGGGCAACAAGAGTGAAACTCCATCTCAAAAATAAAAAAATAAAAATAAAAAAGCTTTCCTGGACTATTCCCACCCATGCTTCTACCCCTGCCCAGGACAGCTGCTGCTCCTGAGCCCCCGAGGAGGTGAGGGAGCCCTCTGTCCGCCTTGATGATAGTGAAAGCTGTGTTCTCCTCCCCAAGAGTTCACGATAGGGTTTCTGATCCCCTGTGTCTCCTGTAGCTCGTGTGGGCCACCTCAAGCCAGCTGGGCTGTGGGCGGCACCTGTGCTCTGCAGGCCAGGCAGCGATAGAAGCCTTTGTCTGTGCCTACTCCCCCGGGTAAGCCCTGCTACACCCTCTGCTGGGATGTCTGGGAGGCAGGGAGGGGCGCTTTCACTGAGGGTGAGATGCCCCCCCCATCCACCTGAAAGTAAAGTCCCTGATGCCTTCCTCTGCACCCTTGGTGGGAGAAGGGAGGAGAGGAAAGGCAGAGGGTGCTGAAGATTGTGGCCATGCAGAAGGTACTGCTCTGTGGATGCCCCTTCCTGGGTACCAGTCCTGGTATCAGGGAGTTTGTCCAGGATTCGTTTGGAGGTCATCTCTTCTCTCCCAGGGAATCTCTCTATCTCACCCAGCTCCCTGACTTCCTGGCCAGGCCACAGGAACTGTAGGGGCCAGGGGGGCAGGCAGCAGGGACCCACCACTGCCTTGCCCAAGGCCAGGCCCTCCCACAGCCTGTGGTGCCTGCTCGTCCTCACAGAGGCAACTGGGAAGTCAACGGAAAGACAATCATCCCCTATAAGAAGGGCGCCTGGTGTTCGCTCTGCACAGCCAGCGTCTCTGGCTGCTTCAAAGCCTGGGACCATGCAGGGGGGCTCTGTGGTGAGTGCATGAGGGCTCGGTCTGGTGACCCTGGGGTAGGGGTGGCAGCATCCTACTGGGCTGTCCTGGAAGCCCCGGCCCTCAGCACCCAGGGAGGCTCCTGCCCGGCCTGCTGGGAGGAGACCCTTTTCTCGGAGTCCCCTCCTCCTCTGACCAGAGGTCCCCAGGAACCCTTGTCGCATGAGCTGCCAGAACCACGGACGTCTCAACATCAGCACCTGCCACTGCCACTGTCCCCCTGGCTACACGGGCAGGTACTGCCAAGGTGAGGGCACTGGAACCTGGGTGTGCCCAGCGCTGCTCTCGTGGCAGGTCCTGGGGCTGCTACACTTCCTGAGTCTCAAGGGTGTTAGGGGTGCTGACCGTGTACTCCCTGAGTCTGCCCACTGCATAGCACTGGCTATTTGCCAGACCCTGAGCTGTGCAGGAGATTCACAGTGAAATCAGGTTCAGCCCCTTAGGCTTTGGGAGGAGGACAGAATTAGGATCCCGAAGTGGCTTCTCGCCCCACTGCCCCTCAACCCTAACCCACTCTGTGACCATGGGCAGGTCACCTCCCAAACTCCGATATGCCTCACTCTACAGTGGGAACCAAACCAAAGACACCAGGCATGCCAGCAGTCAGAAGCCTTCGTGGATTCTGTCTCTGGGAGGGGTATTCTTGCTGTGGTTGGCATTCCCTGGATGTTCGAGGCCTTTGGGGGGCAGCATGGGGTCCAGAAGGCTGGGAGCTGAGCCTCTGCCCCACTGCCCTGCCCTGGCAGTGCGGTGCAGCCTGCAGTGTGTGCACGGCCAGTTTCGGAAGGAGGAGTGCTCGTGTGTCTGTGACGTCGGCTACGGGGGAGCCCAGTGTGCCAGTGAGTCCTGCCCCAGGGCCCCCAAAGAGCCAGCCCCTCCCAAGACCGCCTTCAATGGGGCATCAGCTCCCAGGAGCCCACTGTGTACCTGTCTTTCCAACTAATTCGGTGACAACACGTTGAGAGCTTGAAACCGGCCACAGCGTGGATATTTACACCAAAGAAATTGGCAAACTATGGATTTTTTTTTCTTTTGAGAGAGAGCAAGCTCAATGTTCCACACCTACCAGCACACTCCTGACCCTCACCACCCGCTCTTTTGCAGCAGATGGCCGGAGGAAGGGGCACCCTGAGCTTAGCTCCCTGGCAGGGCAGGAAAGGGCAGGGATTCTGAAGTCCGCACACAAACTCAGGCTCCCCTACCCCAGCCAAGGTGCATTTTCCCTTCCACACCTGTGACCTGAGGATCGACGGAGACTGCTTCATGGTGTCTTCAGAGGCAGACACCTATTACAGAGCCAGGATGAAATGCCAGGTGATGGTCACCCCTACCTTACCAGGGACCCCCCTAGGGCCTCAAGTGAGGGTCTTAATGGAGGGACCCTGGAGTGAGAGATGCTTTCTTCAATGTCTCTGACCTCATTCTGTTCATCAGCATAAAGCAGGGGTCATGGACTCTGAGGCTTATAGAAGCCAGGAGGTCACTTATTGTCCTGAGGGGCCAAAGTCAAGGCCAACCTCCATCTAAGGGAGTTCCAGCCACTGGTTGCCTTGCAGGAGGGAATGCAAGATCAGAGTGGCCAGAGCTCGGGGCTGCTCAATAAAACCAGCAGCTCAGACTTCCACTGGCAGCTCTCGAAACCACAGTTAATTTCTGGGGTTGGCAATCAACTCAGATATGTTGAAGACACTGTGCAGGTGAAACAGAACATCCTCAGGGGCCAGACCTTGCCCGGGCCTGTGGGCTGCCGGTCGGGCTGCTGTGCACAGGGAGAAGAGAAGCAGATGTGAGCAGAGGGGACGGACTCCTGCTCTTGGAAGGGAGGCTTTGCGGGCTGGGGGTGATGACAGCCTGGCCAGCACACACACGTGACATCCTCGGCCATGGGCAGGGGTGGCAGGAAGGGGCAGCCTTCCTGGGAGCCCTGCCTGTGTGACCTGGGGTGGGGTTACAGAGGAAAGGTGGGGTGCTGGCCCAGATCGAGAGCCAGAAAGTGCAGGACATCCTCGCCTTCTACCTGGGCCGCCTGGAGACCACCAACGAGGTGACTGACAGTGACTTCGAGACCAGGAACTTCTGGATCGGTGAGTGCCCGGCTGATTAGGGGTGTGGTGAGTAAGGGGTTGTGATGCCCCACCCTGCTGCAGAAACCCTGGGCTGTGGCAGCTGCCAGCAGATGGTGAGGGTGTGGTAAGGGCCTGGAGCCCAGAGCGGGGCCGGCTGCTCACCCCCTTTCCTGGGGAGGGCCCAGGTAGGGAGCACATGCGGGCTGCCAGCACTGGGAGGAGGGGCCAGAAAAGCAGCTGGCAGCAGATTCCAGGGTCTGAGTGGGCCGTGGGACCTCTGGCCGTGGGCCAACCTCAACTATCCTGGCCCAGGGCTCACCTATAAGACCGCCAAGGACTCCTTCCGCTGGGCCACAGGGAAGCACCAGGCCTTCACCAGTTTTGCCTTTGGGCAGCCTGACAACCAGGGGTGAGTGTGGGGTGCCTCCCTCCCCTGGGCCTCCTTCTCACTCGAGCCTGCCTGGCAGAGCCCCCAGGGTACACTGAAGAGCCCCCCGCCCCATCCTGCTGCCTGACTGGTCCCTTTGAGGGTCTGAGCCTTCCCTGGTGCCTGCCCAGGTGCCAGAGAGTTGTGGGCACAGCTGGTGTGGGCCAGTGCTGTGGTGAGGGAGATGCAAGCCGGAAGGCATGTCACGTGGGAGAGAGGGGCCCAGGAAGCCTCCATCCATGTGTCCATCCCCAGTGTCCCCTGGCTGTGACTCTATCCCTCCAACTCTCATCCACTCACCCCTCCCTCCGCGTGCCCTCTGCCTGCGTCAGTTACACTGACACCAGCATTCCTTAGCTGTCTCCCCCCGCTGCAGTCATTCACAATACAACCCCGAACCTGTGGACCCACCCGCCATCCTGTACCAAGAACCCTCTGGTCATGTGGCCCCACCCTGCTCTTCAAAGCCCAGGAATGCCTAGGGCTGGGGTGGAGGTGGTCCTGCTGCCAGGCCACCAAGGGCTCCAGTGATTTTAGCCAGCCCTCCTTGCCAGCAGCCGGCCTGTGCCCCTGGCCTATTGCCTGGAGGTAGCTCGCCCAGCATCCATCCCGGTATCACACAACGGCGATACATCTGTTTCGACTCATGTCCACTGCCTCCCTCAGCGTGCACTCTTTTTATCGATTACTTTGGCGTAACGCATTCTATGGCTATGCCTACGCTGCGATCGTGCATTTCTGGCGAACGCAGCGGACCACCGCCGTTGTGCAAGGCCATGGTCCTGGCGAAGCCCCACCTGCTCTTCAAAGGCCCAGAAGAATGTCCTCCAGGAGGCTGGGGTGGAGGTCACGCTGCTGCCGAGCCACCAAGCTCAATGTTTCCTTCCAGCCTCCTTACACCCACGCGGCAGGTTTGCTGGCTGTGCTCAGAAGTGAGTCGAAGCCTTGTTGGGTTTCCCAGGTATACCTCTCATTAGGGCTGTCTGTTCCCAATTTTTTTGCGTCCACCTGCCCATGTGACTGTACCTGGCCTATTGCCTGGAGGTAGTGTACTTGGGTTAGGAGTATACCTCTCAGTGGGGCTGTCTGTTCCAGTCCACGTCTCCACAGGTCAAATTTGTGGCTGCGTGCTGCCATGGGGGTAGGCAGAGCTGAGGTATACCTCTCAAGTGGGGCTGTCTATTCCAGTCCACACCGTCCCCACAGGCTGGTGTGGCTGCGTGCTGCCATGGGGTAGGCAGAGCTGTTACCCCAGGAAGGGGCTTTCCTGAGAAGTGGTCTGGGAAGCAGGGATGGGGGCTCGGGGACGGGCCTGGTTCCCAGCAGCCCCATCTGCAGGTGGGGGCCCTGGAGCCCCTGAGATGCAGGGTCCTGATGGCTGGAGGGTTTAGGCCTCTCCCGGACCCCTGACTTCACTCTTCCCTCCTGAGCACCACACCCTGGCCCGCAGGTTTGGCAACTGCGTGGAGCTGCAGGCATCAGCTGCCTTCAACTGGAACGACCAGCGCTGCAAAACCCGAAACCGCTACATCTGCCAGTTTGGTGAGGGCCTTCCTGAGGCTCCCCTTCTCTGATCCCTGTCCCTGGGGGTGCTGCTGACCCGGTCCAGCCTGCAAGGGTATCTAGGTGGCAGGTTCAGAGGGAGTCTGGGCACACGGGGCCATGGAGGATGCCCTGCTCAGGGCCTTGTACCTGTGGGCTCCTGAGCCCAGAGGGGCAACGACAGGCCCAGCGTCACACAGCAAGGCCACACAGGCAGGACTAGAGCTGCAGCTCTGCAGGGAATTTCTCCAAGGACCCTCTCCTCCTGTCATGAACGCTACTGCCTGGGAACCTGTTGGGTTCCTCGGTGTTCCTGGGAGCCCCATGAACTATGGTGGAGGCAGAGGTGAAACCTGGCGTGGCACCAGCTCCCAGCAGCCCCTGCTCGGAAGGTCGGGAGCATCACAGGAACCACGGCCATGGGCACTTCCAGACTGAGCGCAGCAGGGCCCCCATTTTGGGACTGCCTGGGCTGCCATCGAGCCCTGCTCTCTTCTGCTTCCTTCCAGCCCAGGAGCACATCTCCCGGTGGGGTCCAGGGTCCTGAGGCCTGGCCACATGGCTCCCTCGCCTGCCCTGGGTGCACCGGCTCTGCTTACCTGTCTGCCCACCTGTCTGGAACAAGGGCCAGGTTAAGACCACATGCCTCATGTCCAAAGAGGTCTTAGACCTTGCACTCTGCCGGAAGTTGGGCAGAGAGAGGCATGGAGGCCAATGAGGGCCAGGGAGTGAGTGTTAGACGCTGAAGGAGAAGACCCTGCCAGTGGTCCAAAGAGGCTGCTCTCTTCTACCTGGCCCAGGCCCTGTGGGGCAGCGGAGCTTCCCTGTGGCATGAACCCCACAGGGTATTAAACTAAGTTATGAATCAGCTGAACCTGTGCATGCTCATTTCAAAGGGAAATTCAGATTATCCAGGACGACCCTGGAGAGACCAGAGGGGGCCTGAGGCTTCACTGCAGAGGCCTCCACCCACCTATTCCCTTTCCTGGTCGCCTGCATGGCCCAGGACACTCTCTGGAAGTTCTGGGGCTCCCCAAGAAGAGGAAGACCAGACTCTGCCTCGGGGAGGGGCAGTTCTCATGGCTGGGCCCAGGCAGGCAGGGTATTAATAGAAGCTGCTCTGGATGTCTGGGAGACCACGCATGTGTCTTGCCCCCACTGGCGGAGTGTCATCGCACCTGGACCGATGGTGGTCAGAATCTGTGCAGTCCCGCTCCATCATCCAGCTCCTCAAACCTCACCGCACAAGAGGTTAACTATTCCAGTTTACAGCTGAAGAATTGAAGGCACAGAGAGTTTGACTTGCACAAGATCACACAGCTGGGAGTCAAACCCAGTGAATCTGGCTGTCGTTTATTTATTTATTTTTCTCTTTTCAGACAGGGTCTCGCTCTGTTGCCCAGGCTGGAGTGCAGGGGTGCAATCAGGGTTCACTGCAGCCTCGAACTCCCAGGCTCAAGCGATCCTCCTGCCTCAGCCTCCCAAGTAGCTGGGACCACAGGTCCACACTGCCGCGCCACACTAATTTTTGTGTTTTTTGTAGAGACGGGGTGGCACCATGTTGCTCAGGCTGGTCTCGAACTCCTGGGCTCAAGTGATCCGCCATCGTGGGCCTCCCAAAGCGCTGGGGTTCCAGGCGCACAGCCCCACGCCGGCCCAGTCTTTCCCTCTCCCACTGCTTCCCAGGGCTTCACCTGTCTAAGCGGGCGCGGGCAGCTGTGCTGCGTCCCGACTCAGCGCGGACCTAAGCGGGGCGATCATACAAATGCCTCCAGCTCTCTCTACCGACCCTGAATGCGCTCAGCTCTCCCGCGCCGGGACCGCGAGAGGCCGCCCTGCGCATGCCCGCGGGAGGTGGGTGGCCCGGGCGCGCGCTGCCGGAGGCCTGGGGGCGGTGGGGGCAGCACGGGCTGGGCGGCCGAACCGCGACCTTCGCACCCCGCCCCACGCCTGGTTGGGGACCGGACGCGCCATCGTGAGTGGGGCGGGTGCAGGTGTCCCTGGGGGCCGGGGGCAGACACCGGTGCGGGACGACCTGCTCCCGAGGAGGTCCGCAGGCCACACCCAGAGAAACGGGGGCGCCTCCAGTCACCGCCGCGGTCCGCCCCATTCCGAAGCTTTGACCCCCTGAATCAGCGTCGGGGCAGGGATCCGCGTGGGGTGCGATAGGCTGGGAAACTGGGGAGTCCCGGGCTTCCTCTGGAGCCGCCCGCCCTTGGCTGGCTGGTCCTCCTCTTGCGCGGCTCCCGCCTGGTTGGGCCCTGGGCCGCCCTCACTCCCTCTCCGCTGCACCTCCCTCGCGTTTGTCACTCACTCTGCTAGGCTCTCCTGCCTCCGCATGCCCAAGGATCCGGAGGAAAACACGGACCATGACATCAAAAGGCCTTGGCAAAGGAATCATGATTATCGTGATACAGGAAGATTCTGCACCTCAAAGGGGATCCCTGTAGTGAGTTTTGGAAAACGTACAGAGCCTGACTTACAATACGTTTGTGTCTGTGGTGTTTCATCTGGGAAGTTACTTTTCCTTGATAGGGTAAGCTCTTCTCACCCAGAGTATGTCCCTCAGTCTGTAAAACTCCGTGGTGCCCTACATGTATTAGGGGAGTGAGGAAGGGCAGTGGGCATTGGATCTGCTCTTAGAAAGCCCCCGCCTGTGTTTAGCTTCCGTCAGAGGCCTTTGCACCAGAGCAACTCCATCTTGAGTAAGCGCTGAGTAAAATGAGACTGAGACCTACTGAGCTGCGTTCCCGGACGGTTGAGGCATTTCTAAGTCACAGGATGAGATGGGAGGTTGGCAGTAACACAGTGAAGAAGCCGGCCCAAACCAACCAAAACCAAGATGCCGATGAGAATGACCTCTGGACATCCTCACTGCTACACGCCCCCAGCGCCATGACCGCTTACAATGCTGTCGCGACGCCAGAATGTTACCCTATATAGTCAAAAGGGGAGGCAATGAATAATCCACCCCTTGTTTAGCATATCATCAACAAATAACCATAAACATGAGCAACCAGCAGCCCTCGAGGCTGCTTTATGGAGTAGCCATTGTTTTATTTCTTTACTTAGGCTAGAGTGCAGTGGCGACATGTCAGCTCACTGTAAGCTCCGCCTCTCCGGTTCACCCCATTCTCCTGCCTCAGCCTCCCCAGTAGCTGGGACTACAGGCGCCCACCACCACGCCCGGCTATTTTGTATTTTTAGTGCAGATGGGGTTTCACCGTGTTAGCCAGGACAGTCTATCTCCTGACCTTGTGATCTGTCCGCCTCGGCCTCCCAAAGTGCTGGAATTACAGGCTTGAGCCACCCCGCCCAGCCCTATTCCTTTACTTTTTTTTTTTTTTTTTTTTTGAGGTGGAGTCTCACACCTGGCCTCCAATATGTTTATTCCTATTGCTGAGGCAGGGGATTGCTTGAGCCCAAGAGTTTGAGGTTGCAGTGAACCATGATCATAAGCTGTATTTCAGCCTGAGAGAGAGATTGAGACCTTGTCTCACAAAATAAAAGTTAAAAAGTCCTTATCTGGAGGTGAAAAAGACGAGTACAAAGATCTTCTAGGTTGGTTCCTAGTCCGGCAGTGTCAGCATCACCAGAAAGCTTGTTAGGCAAATTCTAGGCTGCCCCAACCTACTGAATTGTAGACCCTGAAGATGGGGCTATCTGAATTTTAACAAGGCCTCCAGGTTTGCATGCTCAAGATTGAGAACCACTGGCAAAGGCAAACAATTTTGAGTCTGAAGTCAGCCCACCTGGATTTGAATACAGGCCCTGCTGCTTAATAACTGTGATTTAGAGCAAGTTAGTTACTTAACAGCTAGGTTGACCAGTTGTCCGAGTTTGCCTGGCACTGTCCTGATTTCAGCATTGAAAATACTACATTGGACCTGGTGCGGTGGCTCACACCTGTAATCCCAACACTTTGGGAGGCCGAGGCAGGTGGATCACGAGGTCAGGAGATCGAGACCATCCCGGCTAACACGGTGAAACCCTGTCTCTACTAAAAAAAAACAAAAAATTAGCCGGGCGTGGTGGTGGGCGCCTGTAGTCCCAGCTGCTGGGGAGGCTGAGGCAGGAGAATGGCGTGAATCCGGGAGGCAGAGCTTGCAGTGAGCCGAGATTGTGCCAGTACACTCCAGCCTGGGAGACACAGCGAGACTCTGTCTCAAATTAAAAAAAAAAGAAAGTACTACATTAATGCCGTGGCTCATGCCTGTAATCCCAGCTTCTCAAGCTGTCCTTGTGGAATCCTCAATATCAGTACATTCATCCTTTTCTAACATCCCCTTCCTCCCTCGCCCGTCCTGCACCCTCAGAATTCATTCTTAGATCAGCTTCCCAGATTTTTGCCAATATCAGTTTAAAAAAAATTTTAGCCAACCATATACTGTAAGCCAATATCAATTAGCAAAATCTTTTGTTTCTTTTGGTGATTCAGTATCTTCTCCCTGGAGTTTTTTGATGATTCAGTACCCTCCTAGATTTGCGGGGTTCTGACTTGTTATTTAATTCTGGAGAAAATGAGGGGTGGGGCTTATAAGGAGACTCCTTTGCTCCTTTGCGGCAGGGTCATTACAGGGTGTGTTACGTAGGGAAATTCTAGCTGCTGGCTAGCTCTTGCTCATGAAAGGCTCTTCCTCTCTCAAGTGAAATGGGGAAGGGGGAACCCAGGCTGACTGAGGTCCTGACATCTTTAGCACCTGGCTTCTCAGGTCACCCAGGGCATCCAGGTGACCAGCTTGGGAAGCAGGAGATGTAGGCTGGAGGAAGAGGATACAGCCCACCCTGGAAATAACTGTCATCCCTCCCACCGATATGGTTAGGCTTTGTTTCCCTACCCAGATCTCATCTCGAATTATAATCCCCACGTGTCGAGGGATGGACCAGGTGGAGGTCTTTGCATCATGGGGGCAGTTTCCCCCATGTTGTTCTCGTGACAGTGAGTGAGTTCTCACGAGATCTGATGGTTTTAAAGCATGGCAATTCCTCATTCTCACGCTCACGCCCTCCTGACTGCCTAGTGGAGGAGGTTTCAGCTTCCCCTTCATCCATGGTTGTAAGTTTCCTGAAGTCTCCCCAGCCGTGCAGAACTGTGAGTCAATTAAACCTCTTTACTTTATAAATTGCCCAGCCTTGGGTTTGTTTTTTTGTTTTTTTTTTGAGATGGCGATTTGCTCTTGTTGCCCAAGTTGGAGTGTAGTGGCGGGATCTCGGCTCATTGCACCCTCCGCCTCCCGGGTTCAAGCGGTTCTCCTGCCTCAGCCTCCCGAGTAGCTGAGATTACAGGCATGCACCACCATGCCCAGCTAATCTTGTATTTTTAGTAGAGAGGGGGATTTCACTATGTTGGTCAGGTTGGTCTCAAACTCCTGACCTCAGGTGATCTGCCCACCTCAGCCTCCCAAAGTGCTGGGATTACAAGCAGAAGCCACCGCGCACAACCTTGGATGTTTCTTTATAGCTGTGTGGAAACAGACCCACTCATCGCTGCAGGCCACACCTCAGCCACGTAGACACCTAATTCCCGCCAGGGAGTTTCTGCCACTAGGATCTTCAGAGTGACAAAGAGGGAGGATGCTTTGGCTGGCAAGGGTGGCTGAGGAGGGGACGGGGGGGTGCTAGGTACCTAAGGCTCCCATATCTTTCCATACAGCCTAATTTTAATAGCCTCTGGTCTCCATACTTCACTGTTTACCAGTTAAGACCTTTCAAGGTGTAGGTCCCCTTGGTCATTCTGTAACCATTGGATCAAGTTTTCAGTTCATTTTTTCTGCTCTCTCAGCCTCTTTTGCTTTCTCAGCTGCAAAATATTGGCACAATCAAGTTTTCTTTTTTTTTTTTTTTTTTTTGTGTGGAGACAAAGTCTCACTCTGTCGCCCAGGCCGGAGTGCAGTGGCGCGATCTCGGCTCACTGCAACCTCTACCTCCCGGGGTACAAGCCTGAGTACCCTCCTGAGTACCTGGGATTACAGGCACCCGCCACCACACCAAGCTAATTTTTGTATTTTTAGTAGAGACAGGGTTTCACCATTTTGGCCAGGCACACTCCGGTTTTCTTACCATGCCTTGACCAAGAATTTGGATTCTGAGCTTGTCTTTCTTTTCATTTAAGCTGTGTGGCGC